TTTCCCATTAAGATGCAGCCAGTCTCGGCTGAAGAGCCGATAGCCGACTGCGAAGTCAGCCCAGTTCTCCAGGAAACCAAAACCTTCCTTCTGAAACCAGCTCCTGAGCCACTAGTTAAATTTTTGTTAATAGTTTTTTAGGTCTTTTGGACCTCCAGTATCACCTATAAGAGGACCTGTCACCACCAATATGTTATCACCTGGGGAGCTTGTAAGCCACCCTATGTGATAGCAGTTAAAGTAAAGTTAAAAAAAACAAAAAAAAACACACAACTGCCACAATTTTATTCTATAGGGTCTTGGCTTTCAGAAAAAATATAATGTTTGGGTGTTTTAAGCAAAAACCCAACGAAAACGCGCTGAAAATGCACCGCGCTGCAGTTAACATCTGACAGCCCCACTCCACACAAAAAAGGAACTGGAACGTGTCCGGAACGTGGTAAAAACGCGCCAAAAAGCGTTAAAACCGCTCTGCACGCATAGCACCGCGTCTGCAGATCTGCACCAGCAAATGGTGTGAACAAGCCCTTAGGTTTTAAATAGCCCTGCACATAACTAGGATAAACTAAGTATAGGTGATACTTCAGTTGTTTGGGGACACAAGTTGCTGAACGTTGTTGTCTCTCAACAGTTAAAAGCATGGAAGTATACTAATACTAATTTATTAAGAACTCGAAAGATTCAACTGTGATTTGTGGCAGCTTAAAGTGGACCTTTCAGTAACTTTACAATTCTATATGAATAAATTCCTGACGGGTGACATTGTACAGCAGCAGTATCAGTTTTCAGAAAGGCATAAGCTGCTATCATTAAAACTCAGACCTTAAGCTCTTATCAGTGACTATGCCTAGGCTCAGATGACCTCATCATGATGTTAAACAGTAAATTTGTCTTGAACATCACAGAATCAGTTCTGAAAAGACAGATCCGAACGCCTGCAATGTTCCAGCACGCTGAATTTGGCACGTGAAATGTACTAAAAACCACAAACCTATTATAATATATGATTAGATGTAACTGTGGCTCTTTAAACTCAGCTGAAGTCTATTTACATTTGGTAATTATTAACCAGTACAGGGCAGGTTATTAATTCAACAATGTATTGTCACTGAATTAACATAGAAAGCCCCTCCCACAGGGGGTGATGTCGTAATCACATTAAAAAAAAGGAAGTGGGGCCCCCTTAATATTCTAACTAGGCCAGGAAAGAAGGGCTGCAAGTGTGTGGCCCCCCTTCCTGTACTATAGCAGGCCACATGCCTTTCAATTTGGGGGGTACCTTGCAAGGAAGGAGCAAATCCTCCCCTCCCTTGGAAAGTAATTTTCCCTAAATGTTGAAGGACAAGGGCCTCTTCCCCACCTCCGTGTACCCCAAAAAGGAGGTGAAGGTAATAGTAAAATGGGGGGGGGGGACTTGCAGTGGAATCTTGAAGTGGTCATTATTATTAGGGGGCATCCAGATAATTGGCCACTCCCAAGAGAATGATGAATGAATGAAGGGGGTGTGTTGAAAGCTCTACTTGAATGTCTCCCTGACCCTAGGGTTAGTTCACACCAGAAACTGCATCACAACTGTGTGCGTCTGCGCAGTTGCACTGCGATGCGTTTGCAATGATTTTGATGCGTTTTTTTAACTGCACTAAAAAATGCTAATTAGGCATGTATGTCACTTCCTTTTCCTGTCAGAGCATTTCCTATGTTTGTTTTGTTCGTTTGGGAGCTCAGTCATGCTTTCTTTGTTGGCTGGCATGGTGCTAGTTTTGACTTTAGCCATTGTTTTTTTTATGTGTTCCGATGCGTTTGCAATGCTTTTGTACTGCGTTTGATGCGTTTTGATGCAGTTAAAGTAGGACAAGCAGTAATTTTTCTGACTGCAGTTGAATCGACTGCAATGGTGTGAATTAGGCACAAGAAAGCCCATAGGAAAGCATTGGGATGTATTTTAACTGCGCAGTTGAAATAAACGGACTGCATCACAACTGCATATGGTGTGAACAGGCCCTAAGACCTCATTCACATGGAGCTGTAGGCTGTGGAATCCTGCAGCAAGAATCTACGGATTCTTGCGGCAGGAATCCCAGATGTGTCTGTACAGATGCGGCTGCTGTTCCCTTTCAACCTGGCGTTCGGGATAGATGATTGTCACCTAAGCAAAACAAATGGCAAACGCACTCATCAATTTTTAACCAGCTCTAAGCAAGGTGCACATGGAAGGGCTTTATACAGTACAAAAGCAAAACATTTCCCAGCACACTCGCCAGCCAGCATGCAAAAAAACTTGTCTAGCCGCTAAGGTTAAAAACAGAGGTTTAGATACACATCTTCTGCAGAATATGTGAAAGCTGCAAATTGATGAGTGCGCTTGCCATTTGTTTTGCTTGACTGATTTGGTGCAGTGACGCATGGGGAGTCTCAGCTGCCGTTGTTTTGTGCGGGGTCCCTTGTGCGTTCCTGTGCCTTTAAGGAGGCGGGACTTCCTCCTGACAAGCTTGCAACCAATTTTATCTTTTGCCACATGTGCTCCAAGATGGAGACTCTCATAGTTTAGAGTTAGGACCGCACTATATAGAGGTGCCTTGGCGCGGCTGTGCGGGTTTCACATATTCTGCAGAAGACGTGTATCCAAACCTCTGTTTTTAACCTTAGAGGTGAGACAAGTTTTTTTGCATGCTGGCTGGTGAGTGTGCTGGGAAACTTTTTGCGGTTGTAGATGATTGTGACCTGACGCAAACAAATTGCAGCCAGGGACAATCATCTATTCCAAACTGCAGTTAAATGTTCATTGTATGATCACATGTGGGCTACTGCTGACAGAGGCTGCTGCATCTATACGGACATACCTGGGATTCCTGCTGCAAGAATCCATAGGTTCTAGCTTTAGGAATAACAATGTATGTCCAGCGCTGGTGTTGGCTATAACAGACTGAGGGACTATACCGGTTCAAATAGCAGGCTAACACCTATGAGAAAGTTTGCGTCTGAAAGTGACTGAAAGTGACACTAAACTCAGGAGTTAAACCTTAAAAATGCATTCAAGTATCCAAACTATTAACAAACATTTGTGTATCACTCGGCTGTAGATCCTCAAATCATCTCTGAATTAATGCTGACACTGTCCTTCCTTCTGGAGGGTGACTGCATTTGTTCCCTGTTGTTCCTGTGTGTGTTGTGAAGTAGCCACCACTCCAAGCTCACTCCTGTGATGGACTACAATCTTATACAAATTAGTAGGGAAGCATGAAATTACATTTTTGGACTAAAACCAAAAATGAAATTTTTGTTAGGCCACAAGTAAAAATGACTGTTTTTTAATTATTATTATAATTTTTTCTTACTTTACTGCTTGGGGGTTAGGGGGAAATATCAGGGGTCTAGAAAAACCCCTGATATTTCCCTTTTAAAATAGGATAAGAGATTGAGGACTCCTTTTTCTGCAGCCCCTGTTATGAATGAACAAGAGGCCTGAGTGCTCCTGTCCATTCATACACTGTGGAGATAGTATGAGTTACTATGCCCACAATCATGAATAAACAGGAATTGATGTAGAGCACTTCTTGTTCATTCATAATTGGGGACACAGTAAACATACTATGTCCTCAGTTATTTACAAACACTCAGTGATCATTTCGAATCGCTGATTGCTTGTATCCCACTCTCCATCCTGACGGCAGCTGGATCGGCTCTTTGTCCCCTCGGATCCCCACTGCCTTTGCCAACATAAGCGGAGGAGAGCAGCGGTCATTGAAGGGGACACAGACCAGCACAAAGTGAGGAGGGAAGCTGTCAGGATGCACAGAATTGTTGGACGCATTTTCGACCGTTATGGTATTATAGCCATTTTGCCCATAGTACCATATTTGGCCGAAATATTTCAAAGGACGAAATTTCGGTGCATCCCTTCAAATTGGTCAATTAAACGTGAGATTGTATTCCATCACGGGAGTGATCTTGGAGCGGTGGCTACTTTACAACACACACAGGGCTTATGGGGAACAAAAGTAGCCACCCTCCAGAAGGAAGGACAGTGTCAGCACCAATTCAGAGATGATTTGAGGATGTGTACACAAATAAGCTCCTTTTTTTGTTAATAGTTAAGGTTTAGTGTCACTTGGAGGTCTGAGACCATTTATGTTGTGTTGATGTGATGCTGAAACCCCTGTGAGGGTGACCTGCTGTACAGGAATTTATTTTGAATAAAAATGGCCGAAAATGGCCTTAAATGCAAAAGGACCCAGTCCTTGGAAGCTCTACTCAACGCGGCACCTCACGGCATGTGACTGCAGGCACATGTGGGGTCGAAAGCTCACCTAGAATTTTACGGATGTGAACATTTTACGTGGTCTAAGAGGAAGCACTTCTAGGACCATTACATGTGTTTTATATGAATGATCTTTCTGCCAGCATATTCCTGGGGAGATATCTGTAGGTGTTCATGACTCCTAATAGAAGATGGTATTGATGAATTCTTCAATGGCTGTGAATATAATGTAATAGAAAGCTCTTCCATGTGCCCCCCCATACAAGCACCCCCGGTTCCCCTATAGCCATCAGCACCCCATCATCCCCTCACTCCCCAGCCTGCTATGTTGATGGCTCTTTAAGAGAACAAGCGCTCCCTCTAGGTCCCCGGCTGCACAGTCAGGCTCTGTATGCAGTGCTCGTCCTGCATATATTATGTTCATGACGCAGCTGCAAAAAAATGTTCGTGTAAAAACTGCATTGAACTTTATAAGACGAGACGGCGGATTTGTGCCTCCGCTTCGTCTATTCATACACTGCACGAGCTGCCGGAGTAAAAGAGCTGCCAAGGGGCATAACCGGGGAGAGAAAAGGTGATTAAATATTAATAAGAGGTGTCCCTACTCTTCAAGGAGCACCCCCCTCTATATCCATGCTAATAACAACCCCCGTTCATTATTATTGTGCGCGCCCGGTGCCTTGCTACCAGCGGGGCCCTGAGGTGAATTAATAATGAGGCGCCCGCTGTGACACCGCCATACCCCACGGTGCATAATGTATCCTTCCGCCGCCCGGACACCGCTTCTTCCCGGTAAGTCACCTAATTATACTGTACGGAGGGCCACATATAACGTCGGTGGGGGGTAAATGTTGAGGTTTTTTTGTTCGGTTTGGTTAATATGCAATGGTGTTAATTAACATAATTTATATATTTATGATAAAGATGAGGGGGGCGGGCAGTGCAGGCCGCCGTTTTGCATGGGTCGTGTTGTGAGTGCAGCCGCAGGACACGGGGGATGGTGTGTGATGTGAGGAGGGGGCGGATTTATGCAGAGAGATGGAGACACGTGAAGGGGGGGTACAGGCACGGGAATAATGCATAGATAAAATACAGCGCGGAGGGACTGGGTGTCATGGGGCGCCCGCCCGCACGTTTTTTTTTTCCTCTCGCTGGGCTGTGTGGCAGCGGTGCGGTCGGGCAGGCTGTCACTGTGATGGCATGGCCGTGTGACATGTGTCGGTGCTGGAATGCTGCGGGGACGGCCAGTGTTCAGGGGGAGTGGAGAGGACAGGGGGAGCTATAAATTATGTGCTCCTGGGCGGGAGGGTGAGAGAGGCCCTGCTGCTGTGTGCATGGAGGAAGCTCAGGGTCTGATTATTTATTCCTGAAGGGCTGAGCCATCAGCATGTTACTTACAAGGATTACACTGCAGCCAGTTTGACAACTTGGAGTCAATAAAACATTTTTTCCTACCATTTTATGTGTGTGTTGCTGCTGCTTCCCCCCCCCCTAAAATTCACAAAACAGTAGCAGATGTTAGTTGTCCTGGACTTTTATTTTATCTCTAGGTTGCGGTACAGAGCTGAGGTTGGCTTTCTAAAAGACCAGATATTAGTATTCAAGTGACACTAAACTCAGGAGTTAAATTTGAAAAATGCATTCAAGTACTTTAAAGTAGAACTAAACCTTCTTTTTTTTTGCATGTATGTAGATAGATGCAAAAACATAAAAAAAAGTTACCAAATAGGTTAAAACTTACCTGTGTTTTTGCCACACGCTCCTGTCCAAAGTTCTGATGATTTTCGAGCAGCCGTGAAGGATCATGGGGTGGACGCATGCGCAGTAGAAATCTTCGGTTGGGAGAAGAGGAGAGACACCGTGTAAGCCAATGCACGCAGCCGGGAGCGTGCACGTGCACAGACACCGTGGGACACAGAAGTCAGCGCTGGATCAGAGACTGGCACCAGCGCAGGAGGGACTCCTGAAAACTACTGGAAAGAAGATGATTGGACCAAGAGGCATAATTTAAAGGGTTAATAAACCCCAGGGGTGTGGAAATTTGAAAAAAAAACGACTTGTCCAAGGGCTAAAGCAGGGGCCGAATCTACTTGTCCCTCATGACAATCTACTTGTCCCAGTACAAAAAAAATGTTTTAATCAAAACCAGGGATGCACCGATATAGGTTTTTGGGTATCGAGTACGAGCACTGATACTTTGCTTTCGGTACTCACCGATACAGAGTATCGGTGCTTCTGTTTGCCCGGGAAGCCTGACATGCTACCCAGCTTCCTGTTTGCCAGGGAAGCCGACTCCATGTTGTTTGGCTGGCTTGATTGTGATTGGCCAGGAAACCGGCTTCCCAGCCAATCAGCATCGAGCCAGCCAATCAGGAAACCGGGGGCGGGTCATTAGTCGCTGCCCCACTTTCTGATTGCACGGGAAGCTGGCTCCATGTTCCCCTACTGCACTGCCGGTCAGAGGAAATCTTCAGGTGACCAGAAGTTCCAGTATTGGGGAAGGTATCGGAGCATTTGGGCTCATAATATGAGGTGAGTGATTTTCATTGTTCCTCATAGTTTTATAGTTGCCTCATAGTTCGAGCTGACGTGTGACAATGAAACTGTTGGCTCTATAGATCAGGAAGTGAGGGAACACATACCGTCGCTCGCTCACTTCTCGATCCTGTCCCTGCAAAGAGCCGTAACTGTCACTCACGGCTCAGAGCCGGCGAAGAACGTCCGTTCTTCGTCTGCTCTTCGGGCTCTATGGTGAGCTCGTGTGCCGTGGTCACGGCCGCGGTGACCGGACACAATAGCCGCCGATCCTTTCATACAAGTGATCTAATCAGATCACTTGTATAAAAACGAGCGGCGGCCCCACGCTGTACATTTAGCTCTGCTTGTCCGGAGCAGGGCTAAAACTACTCGCCCTGCGCCCGAAACTGCATGTCCCGGGCGTCGGGCGATAGGAATTCCACACCCCTGAACCCTCACGTTTGTTTGCATATATCTACTGCTAGCAAGCAGTAGATATATGCAAAAACTTCAACAACAAAAAAAAACCTTTTGAAAGAGGTTTAAACATACCTGTGTCTTCGCCGCGCGCTCCCGTCCGAACATCTGAAAATTTATCGGGCAGCCGCAAAGGATCTTGGAGCGGGCACATGCGCAGTTCAGATGTTCGGCTGGGAGATAAGGAGAGACACAAGGTAAGTCTCTGGAGCAGGTTGCACCCGCCTGCAGACTCCGTGGGACATCAGAGGAGGGGAGTCAGCACTGGATCGGAGACCCGCACCAGTGCTGGAGGGACAGCTGAAAACAACAGTAAATAAGAAAATGATCGGATTAAGAGGCATAATTTAAGGTAAGTCCTGACACTAACATTGGGGGGAGGGGGAAAAAAATCATTTATGTCACTTTAAGGTAAGTCCTTACACCAGTATTGGAGGGGGGAATTGTGGCTTTAATTATTAACAAAAATGTATCTTATTTGTGTATCACTCAGTTGCAGATCCTCAAATCAGCTCTGAATTGGTGCTGACACTGTCCTTCCTCCTGGAGGGTGGCTACTTTTGTTCCCCATGGTCCCTGTGTGTGCTGTAAAGTAGTCACCGCTCCTACCGTGTTTCCCCGAAAGTAAGACCTAGCACTATCTTTAGAGATTCCTGTAATATAAGACCTACCCCGAAAATGAGACCTAGTTCGGTGGTACGGTAGCATGTACTTTACCGCACTGTCCACTGTCTGCACCGCTGGCAGGGCCGTAGGAAGGGCGAGGCTGGGAGGGGGCGCAGCCAGGGCCCTGGTATTCTGTCATTTGATGGTGGGGGCGGCCCAGAGAGCAACCAAAGTACACGGTGGGGACTGACCGCTGCGCCGCAGTTCCTGCATGCCTCCGTGTTCTGATATCAGCAGACGCCTGTCTGCCTTGGCTTTTCCTTAGAAAGCTGCCGCCAGGCAGAAAACTACATTTCCCAGCAGGCAGTGAGTGAGGTGACTGAGCCTCAGTCACTGAGGGAACTTCTGATATTAAAACATTAAAAAAAATAAGACATCCCCGAAAATAAGACCTAGTGTGTTTTTTTGGGGGAAAAAAATATAAGGGAGTGTCTTATTTTTGGGGAAACACGGTAGTAAATATATTGCGGGCGTGCAAGTGACGCGAACATTGCATTGGGGAAAAATTACTGGCAGATGCATTTTTTTTCTAATTGTTTAATATTTAAGGAATGCAAAATATTTATATCACATTTTCTACCAAATGAAAGCCCTATGTTCAAGTCACCCCAAAAAAGAGTTTAAATATGTTAGGCTTGTGATGTTATGTGTATCTAACATCAATACAAGGACGGATTGATGCATGGGACCTTGGTGTGCGGGCGATTTTTTAATTTGACTGCTTTATACTTAAAATACGTTTGGGTACATGGCGAAACCTAAAATATATAAGGTCCGGAAATGAGACGCCCCTGAAACGAAAGAAACGCTCAGACTCGTGGGCAGTTTAGGAAGAAAAAGGCGCTGTATTATTTTCCCATTGAACGTACTCTGTAATTGTTAAAACGTTTCACCACTCACTAAAGTAGCTTTCTTGGTTCCTTGAAGCGGCTTAAATGAGTAGCGACCGCAGAGAGATGGATTACAGCAGAATTGGGCCCTAGGCTTTGGCCACCCATCCACTTGACTGAAATTGATAGGGATTGTAGTGGGCTCAGAGCAGACATCCCATTTGCATTGTCTGTACAGGCGTGGCCCTTTGTGTCCCAACACCGACTGCCTACAGGTTCATCCTCCTCTGTGAAAGGACAATCAGGTATAGAGCTTTGGCCATTAGCACTATCCCCCTGAATTAATGCAGGAACATGAAGGTTGTAGCTCGGGCCCTGGCTAGGTCTAAGTTGCCTTGTGAATGATCCAACTCTGCTGAAAGATCTTCAGTATTATTGAACAAGTCCATTCAAATGTGACTACTACTAGGTATGTTATGACCTCGATAATAGGAACCTTTATAAACATTATGGCAGGGGTGGGCAATTTAATTTTTTCCAAGGGACACAAGAGAAACTGGCACTGTTGTAGAGGGCCGCACCAATACGGCTTACTGGTTCAGCCTCCACAGCAGTCCCAGTTTCTGAATAAATATTGCACGGTACCGCGCAATGCATCTACCGTGCATAAGAGTGCTGCAGGCGTGTTGTATTGCCATTCATTTAAATGAAAGCCCAAACCCAACTCTTGGCCACAATGAGATCAACTACGCCGCAACATGTACCTCAATACCGTGTGCTGAAAACAGTGGTGCATGCGCTATTTTTTCAATCGCACAGTATGGTGCATCAATTGCATTGCGGCCAGTATGTGCGTTTGGTGTGCCATTCAAATGAATGGCAATGCACTGTAATGCACAGGTGGGTTGCGTGGCACTGTGCGTTAATCGCATGGCACCAATTGATTAACGGATTGACCTGGTGTGAACGGACCCCAGTAGTAAATATGTGCCCTGTCCCTTTTTTTTTTCCCCTTCATATGGGGTTTTAGCAACCAGTGACTGCAGAAAGTAAGACCTCTGACGTCACTGGTTGACAAGACTGTCTAGCGGTCCTAGCAACCAATGACTGCAGTGGACCCATGACCTCATTGGTTGCTAGGATGCCAGTTGTCCTAGCAACCAAGCACTGAAGAGGAACGCAGTCTGGACATGGATTGATCGCCGACTTGTGCTGGGCTATGGCTTGCAGTGGATGCACCAGCCTTGGAGACCTGGGCATCCGCTGTAATCCAACCATTAATGAGTGCAGGTTAGCGATCAG